GGCCTGGAAATGGCAGAAACAGATTTGCTGATTCTACTTTCAGATATTTTATACATCAGACATGACAGGTCCTCTTTACCCATTGACAGTGCACATGATGATCTGAAGACTTGACTGACTCCTCCCACAATAGGCCTGAGATAGCCAGGTCCAATGAATAAATTCACATTCCAGAGGTGGCCCCTGTGACTTCACACCCATGTAGGGCGTTCCCAGGAACATGAACGACACCTCCCCCAGGATTGGGGTGTCTACCAACATTAGTGGGATTGGTTTGAATTAGACATCATAGTAAATGATTAGAATTCAGGAGGAACCATCTGCAGGGAACTGAAAAGTCAAATATTCTGCTGCCCTGAGTGATGTCTAGAACCCGATCTGTAATGAATGAATCCAGAATAAACCCAAAACCAGAAATGGCATCTAGTACAGCTTACCAGTCATTAGATGTGGCAGCTGCCATAGTTTTCATTTTTAGGCTTTTCACCTGGTGAATAAAACACCTCCTGTATTAGAGCGCCCCCACTCTGGAGGAAGGAGCACAGGGGGCACCTTTAGACAGCTGCATTGTCAGTCTGGTGGGAGGGGAGTGTCGGATGAACCAGCAGCTTTATCCCGTACCCTAAAGGCTCTAAACCTTAGTTGATCATCAGCTACAACAGTAGTTAATGAATTGTCTCAACCATTTAACTGCTACATCTGCAGGACAGTTTGTTCAGGTTTGGGCTACGTTGGCACGGCAACTAGCGCGGGTGTGAATGACAGGCGGGCATCTTCTGATTCTTCCTGCAGCTGTTTCAGCCACTTGTGAGCAGCTCGCTGCGTCTGCTGAGCTCTGTACACTTCAAAGACAGGCAGACAGCGGCCGTCAGTACCTGCGGCTGTCCACACAGCCAGCGATTTCCGCACAGCCAGCAATTCCCCCCCAGCCAGCGATTCCCGCCCAAGCAGCGATTCCCACCCAAGCAGCGATTCCCCCCCAGCCAGCGATTCCCACCAGCGATTTCCCCCCCAGCCAGCGATTCCCACCAGTGATTCCCCCCCTGCCAGCGATTCCTGCCCAGGCAGCGATTCCCACCAGCCAGCAATTCCCAACAGCGATTTCCCCCCCAGCCAGCGATTCCCAACAGCGATTCCCCCCCAGCCAGTGATTCCTGCCCAGGCAGCGATTCCCACCAGCCAGCAACTCCATCCAGCCAGCGATTCCCACCAGCCAGCGATTCCCACCAGCCAGCGACTCCACCCAGCCAGCGATTCCCACCAGCCAGCGATTCCCACCAGCCAGCGACTCCACCCAGCCAGCGATTCCCGCCCAGCCAGCGATTCCCACCAATGATTGCACGAGAGAAGAAGAGTCCATTCATCAAATGTGAGGAAATACAGCAAAAACAAACCAGAAAAATCATCAAACGTCAGTTCACTAAAGACACAATTATTGTCTGTCACCCGGCAACCGCGATTGTACAAAACAACAACGAGGGGAACTCTGCACTGAGCAGGAAGGGAAAAGAATACAATGTATATCAGTGTGGGATTATAGAATGTATTAGTGTGGAGTATACAATGTATCGGTGTGATGAATATAATGTATGTATGTGTATACAATGTATCGGGGTGGAGTATACAATGTATACAATGTATTATCAGGTGTGATGATATACAATGTATCGGTGTGATGAATATAGGACGGATCGGGTGGAGTATACAATGTATCGGTGTGATGAATATAGAATGTATGTGTGTGGCGTATACAATGTATCGGGGTGGAGTATACAATGTATGGGTATGATGAATAAAGAATGTATCAGTGTGGAGCATACAATGTATGAGTGTGATGAATATATTGGTGTGGAGTATACAATGTATCGGCGTGACGAATATAGAATGTATGTGTGTGGCGTATACAATGTATCGGGGTAGAGCATACAATGTATGAGTGTGATGAATATATTGGTGTGGAGTATACAATGTATCGGTGTGTTGAATATAGGACGGATCGGGGTGGAGTATACAATGTTTCAGGGTGGAGTATACAATGTATCGGTGTGAAAATGTTCTGCCTGGAGCTCAGAGATGGAAATAAATGGTAACATTTCATCGGAGGGAGAAGTTCTGTGGATGAAGCGCACCGGAATGTTGTCTCTTATTTCTGTCTATTTATTTCTTTCTTTAGCATGAAAATGAATTGCAAATAAAAATAACGCGAAGCGACAAATATGACAAAACATAAATATTGAACAAATTGGGTAAATAACATCTTGTAGGGAATTGCCGACTTCTGAGATAAATGCCGTGTGCGGGAATGTAGGCGAGATTTCTCTCTTGCATCGATTCCTGGAGGTGAAGCTTTTATCAACTGCAGAAGAGTTGGGGCTCATTCACCTTCATTCACCAAGAGAACCTGTCACTATATTCCAAACAAAATGAATAGGAGCCTGCTGTACAAGATGAATCCTTCCCTCTGTCGGGCTACAGCTAAACTTCCCACTTTCCTCCTCAGCTCTAGTGTGATCCACAACTTGGGGGGAATGATTGGACTTGGCGCTGTGGTTCCTCCTGCTCCTGAATCATATCATTATTGTGTCTTGTAGGGACAGAGCTGCCAGTGAAAAGATCCCCAGCATCCCAAACCTGCAGCTTTAAATTCCTGGCCATGGATCACTTCTGGCCTCTCAGCTTGTAGGAGAAAAATCTCCAAACGCAATGAAATGATTGGGGGCGTCTCGGCCACTAGAGGGGTCAGATCAGAGGACTGGGGCAGGGAGGGAAGGGTCCAGCAAGGGGCTTCTCTTCACTTCAGGGAGTTTTCATTCCCATACAAGTCTGAATGTGGAAAAAGAGGAATGGCTGCAACGCCTGGATGGTCTGCAGGTCCGATGGTGTCAGTGATCTCAGCCTGAAATTAAATGGATGCCAAATGTATTCCGGGACACAAGCCCAGCACCCCTCCAAGGGCCCCCCCAGCACACCCCCAAGGACCCCATTCGTACCCTCCTGAACTTTCAAACATTTTTTTAACATTAATGGTGACAATCTACCACCACCCACTTTCATTAGTGATACCGCCCCAAACAGGAAGTAGATTTCCAGGTGGCTGGTTATGTACAATGCACATCAACCAATCAGAATTCATCTTTCACTGACCTAGGGGGACAGTATTGTTCACATCATCATAGCTCTGAGTATAATCCTTTATAATAAATATAGAAGGAAAGCGTGTCCCATTGTGCAATACTCTTCATAATGTCGGGGGAGGGGGAACCAGCATCTGAAAACAGCCTATTGTGTTTCTAGCTACACGGCTGACCAGAGTCCCCCAGGAAATATTAGCACCACTGTGAAAGCCCTGCTGAAGTCCTATTCACATTAAGAGTTTTCACAACCACAGGACATGGAGTCCATCACACAGAGGGGAGGGAAGGCCAGCGTCCTGTAGTTCCCACATTTCCTGGAGGGAAGTTCTTTGCCCACCACCAATCCAGCCCCAGTCCCCTCCCCCCACCCCCACACCAATCCACCCCCCCGCCCCCACCAATCCACCCACCGCCCCCAGTCCCCTCCCCCCACCAGTCCACCCCCCCCACGCCCCAGTCCCCTCCACCAAGACAGGCAGGTAAGCACAAGGACTATGAATGTACAAATGCAGACATCTGGTGTATGGCTCAGCTAGGAAGGATGCAGCCAATCACGTCTCTAGAACAACAATGCCATCACGCTGGTAGGAGGGTCTTCAATGGGGATTGGTGGAGGATTTGGTCACAGAACATTGGCCATGTCTTTGTGGAAGAGAGAGAACAATTCATTCTGACTGCAAACAGAAAACATCATCTGCTCTATGACATCATTGGCAGCTCTTGGCTAACCAATAGGAATGAACCAGAAAATCAGTATTACATTAGACACATTAAACCATTTCCCCCCCCCAACCAACCCTCCCCCCCCCCCCCTTCCCAGCAGCAGTAAGCCGCCACCTACCTACCTCTGCAGCAATGGTCCAAGCAGCTGCCATCTTTGTTTCTTAAAGGGAATGTGTCATATCCTACAGAGTTCCTTCCAGTTTAAGCCCCACCCACCAATCCATTTCCAGCCATTAAATTAATGAAGAATTAGAACTGCTGTCAGGTTTTTGTTGCGCTCTGACTGCAATGGGGAAATTCCAGCTGCCTTCATGTCTACAAAACCAGGACAAGAAAGGGAACAGGAATCTGGGACAGGCAGCAGTAAAACCAGACAGAGGGTCCAACCCTTATCCACAGGAGAGATTTCCCAGCCTTCTGACCGGTCAGTGAGAGGAAGGCGGGACGTTTCATCAACGAGAACTCCGGCAGTAATGACATTCGACTCTCTGAGATATTAACATTCCCGTCTTTTGCTGGAAGTGGGTTTTAAACAGATCTCCGCTTGCAGCCTTTAGGAGACACTCAACCTCATGCCCCTCCCCCACCATCACATAAACCAATCATGGCATGGCGCTCAGGCTCTGGGACGCAGTCCTTGGTTTGTGTGATGTCGAGGACATGAGACAACCGGCGCTGAAACCAAGGAGGCAGCAGTGCAAGGCTGCAGGATAGGACAGGTACACTTTGGGCCAGGCCAGAAAAACCAGCTCCATGCAGAACGACAACTGAAGGCCTGGCGCGCCAGGAGAAAAAAAACAACCTTCACCAATCACTCTGCTGGGGTGGAAGAGTCTGCAGAAAACATCCCTCAATAGAGAACACTGGAATGTACTGAACCTCAGCCAAGGCACCGGTCCCTTGGAAGGGCTGACGTCAGCCAAGGCGCCGGTCCCTTGGAAGGGCTGACGTCAGCCAAGGCGCCGGTCCCTTGGAAGGGCTGACGTCAGCCAAGGCGCCGGTCCCTTGGAAGGGCTGACGTCAGCCAAGGCGCCGGTCCCTTGGAAGGGCTGACGTCAGCCAAGGCGCCGGTCCCTTGGAAGGGCTGACGTCAGCCAAGGCGCCGGTCCCTTGGAAGGGCTGACTTCAGCCAAGGCGCCGGTCTCATCTGGCAGTGGCGAGGTCCACCCCCAGGGATCCTCCTTCCTCCAGCAGCAGTAAATCCAGAGCAGAGGCCCTCGCCAGGCGGTGATGGATGCGTCTGAGGCGTAGAATATACAGAACGATGGAGAGCAGGACCACCAGAATGCAGGCGAAGAATAAATAGTGGTTGTAAACGAAGGAGAAGCGATACCAACTGACGTGCGCTGGGCGGGCGTTCTCCAGACGAATATCCCTGTAAAATAGAAGTCACAGCTGAGAAGGGAGCAAATCTATGAAGAGGAAATCAAGAACTATGATCAGAGTGCAGCTCCGTGTTCAATCTGTTGTCACATTACAGGGGAAGGTAATCTACAGAAAGCCCCACATTTCCTGTCCAGGGGGGGTCAGACTCAGCCTGTCTACATGCAGTAGGGTGACCGTCCCCCTCAATGCACCACCCCACCATGGTGTTATCTCTGGAATTCCTGACAGTCACCTGAATGTTCTCCAATATGCTGGTCTCCACCCAGCCCCACCCACCACCGGCCTCCAGCGCTTTTTCCGCTTGACGTTTCTCATCTAGGGCTCAATTCACTAGCTGATAACATGATAGGTGACACATTTCTAGTTATTTATACCCAATTCACAAAACACCTCAAAAAAATGGTGTTCAGAGCATTGCCTAAGGAAATAAATAAATGGATGGATGGATGGATGGATGCAGTAAATAAGTTGCAGTCCAGGCATGAGGGATGAAGGAATGTAAAAAAAAATCTCATCACCAAGCTGAAGAAGTCTCCACCATCCTACAGTTGCAAGAAAAAGTATGTGAACCCCTTGGGATTCCGTGGAGTTTTGCATGAATTGGGCATAAAATGTGCTCTGAACGTCATCTAAGTCACAACAATAGAAGAACACAGTCTGCTGAACATAATACTACACAAACATTAGATGTTGCCATGGTTTCATTGCACATAACATGTAAACATTCACAGTACAGGGAGGAAAAAGTATGTGAACCTTTGGACTTAATAACTGGTTGACCCTCCTTTGGCAGCAATAACCTCAACCAAATGTTTCCTGTAGTTGCAGATCAGACCTGCACAACGATCTGGAGTCATTTTGGACCACTCCTCTTCACAAAACTGTTTCAGTGTAGCAATATTCTTGGGATGTCTGGTGTGAATCGCTCTCTTAAGGTCATGCCACAGCATTTCAATGGGGTTGAGGTCAGGACTCTGACTGGGCCACTCCAGAAGGCGTATTCTGTGCTGTTGCAGCCATTGTTTTGTTGAATGACTTGTCTGCTTTGGGTCATTGTCCTGTTGCATCACCCATCCTCTGTGGAGCTTCAGTTGGCGGACAGATGGTCGTACGTTTTCCTGCAAAATGTCTTGATAAACTCTGGAATTCATTTTCCCATCAATGACAACAATCCGTCCAGGCCCTGAGGCAGCAAAGCAGCCCCAAACCATGATGCTCCCTCCGCCATGTTTCACAGTGGGGATGAGGTTTTGATGTTGGTGTGCTGTGCCTTTTTTTCTCCACACATAGTGTTGTGTGTTCTTCCCAAACAACTCAATCTTGGTTTCATCTGTCCACAGTATATTCTGCCAGTAGTGCTGTGGACACATCCAGGTGCTCTTTTGCAAACTTCAAACGTGCTGCAATCTTCTTTTTGGCCAGCAATGGCTTCCTCCGTGGTGTCCTCCCATGTACTCCATTCTTGTTTCATGTTTTCCTTATTGTAGATGTGTCAACAAAAATGTCAGCATGTGCCAGAGATTTCTGTAGGTCTTTAGCTGACACTCTGGGATTCTTCTCTACCTCATGCAGCATTCTGCGCTGGGCTCTTGCAGTCATTTTTACAGGACGACCACGCCTAGGGAGAGTAGCAGCAGTGCTAAACTTTCTCCATTTGTAGACAGTCTGTCTTACCGTGGACACAGGAACATCAAGGCTCAAGGAGATACTTTTGTAACCCTTTCCAGCTTCATACAAGTCAACAATTCTTGATGGTAGGTCATCTGAGAGCTCTTTTCTGCGAGGCATGGTTCACATCAGACAGTGCTTCTTGAAACCAGTAAACCCAAAACAGGTGTCAGCAACACATCCAATATGATCACACTGATTGGAGTCAAGGTTGGCTCACTCCTGGCTCCAATTAGCTCTGGGAGAAGTCATTAAGCTAGGACCTCACATACTTTTTCCTCCCTGCACTGTGAATGTTTACATGTTATGTGCAATGAAACCATGGCAACATCTAATGTTTGTGTAGTATTATGTTCAGCAGACTGTGTTCTTCTATTGTTGTGACTTAGATGACATTCAGAGCACGTTTTATGCCCAATTCATGCAAAACACCATGGAATCCCAAGGGGTTCACATACCTTTTCTTGCAACTGTAGGTCTGTGCTCTCACCAGTAATGCATAGAAGCCAAAATATGGAGAAGACAGAATCATTGGAGGGGGAGGGGTTTACAGAAAGTATAACTAAAGGAGAAATTATTTAGTGTTGGATGGAGGGAGGAAGGGGGGGGGGGGGGGGGGGGGGGGGGGGGGGGGGGGGGGGGGGGAGAGACCCCCTGTCAGGTTTTATTGTGGTCTATGTCCCCAGCAGGGAAATTGCCCTTCTCTATGTGTCCCCGATAGGAAGATCTCCCCCCCCTCCTCTGTGTCCCCCCCCCCCCCGTAGGGAGATTGCCCCTCTCTATGTGTCCCCGCTAGCGAGATTCCCCCCCCCCCTTCTCTGTGTCCTCGGTAGGAAGATTGCCCCTCTCTATGTGTCTCCAGTAGGGAGATTCCAACTCCCCCCCCGTGTCCCCAGTAGGGAGATTCCAACCCCCCCCCCCCTTGTGTCCCCGGTAGGGAGGATTTCCCCACCCCCCCTTCTGTGTTCCCCGTAGTGAGATTCCCCCTCTCTGTGTCCCCCGTACTGAGATTCCCCCTCTCTGGGTCCTGATTACCATCATTGAAGGTGAAAGAAAATCCCACATTTTGGGTTGGCCCCAGAACAGGAAGAGAGGGGAAATCTTCCAATGGGGACTCTGGTCCTGGAAGGGAAACCCGTCTCCTGACAACATTGTCTTTTATTGGTGGAAGAGGATTTATATCTGTGTGATTTCTGATATTTTCATTCAATATTTGACATTTATAAAGATATTTTGTATTTCCTTCACGGAACTTTGTTGCGTCTGATCTGCCTTGTGTGTCCTGTGGGAGCCGCTTCCCTTCGCCTTTTTTCTTTGGTATGAATACATGGGCCCCAAGCAGCGCACAGACTTGGTGAGTTGGCAGATTTCTACGGTTTAACCCATTTTGCTCGGTTAGCAATAATAACCAACACAAGTTCTGATCCCCCATTGTATCCCTCCCTCTGCATATCACACAAGATGAATCCCGCACACATTCTGAGGGAATAACTCACACTTTATTTTAGGAATAGATTTTGGTGAATTGCCAAAAAAAAAGAAGTTTAAAAAAAGCGCTGAGTGATTTTAGGAGGAAAAAGAACTTTGTGAATTGAGGCCCTAGTTATCAAGGAGAGGAGGATGCTGGGAGGTATGAAGGGACGAGGATGAGAGCAGATGGTTCCTGGGAGCTCCTTCATTCTTCTCTTCAATGTCCACTGAATGGGAACGTTTCGTCCTCCTCCAGAGCCGCTCCCTCCTCAGGTCTGATCTGCAGGCGGGCGATCAGACTTACGCTTTAGAGGGATGCAGCGCCATTATTTCTTGGGCCCCCCAGGTCACCAAAACCAGCGCCCCCATTGAAAAATTCCCCCTCTTACTTTTCTGGTGACAACCCCAAATCTGGGGTTTTCTTTCAGTAAACAGGATAAATAGGGAGGGAGAACCTCCCCACAAGGGACACTGACAGCAATAAACACCAGACAGGGGGAAGCAATGAGAAAGCATTGACAGCTCACAGCCCATTACCGCCCACTGCACTGAGCCCGCCCACTCTGGCCATGTGCAGAGCAAGGACCATGGGACATGTAGTCCTGGAGCATGGCCATGTCACAAGGCTGTGATATAGGGAGCGCTGTAACCCCACACTGTGATGTTGACATATAAATGCAGTCAGGCCCATTGACGGGTGAGAGAGTGGCCTCACCCTCATATTTTATCTGCAGATTGCTCACCATTACCATATCCTACCACCAAAAGTAACCCTAAAATACAATTCTGCCCATAGAAGAGCCCAGAATAGTCCTGATCCTTCCTGAACACACTAAGCCTGCCCCTGACATTACCCTGGACGCACCCGGAATCAGTTTTATCTTTATTCATGTACACACCGGCTGTTTTCACAGAAACTTTCTCCTCTGGATAGGATACAATATATTCAGACGGAGAGGCTGTACCACGGCAGGTTTTGCTGTGTCATCACTGTAATAGCCAATCACAGTCTACCATCGCAATAACAGGCCGCATTCAACTGGCGGACTACAGTGCAGCAAGAATGGACTCCGAGCCTCGGCTCCCGGCTGACTGCAGGTAATGGAGAAGGTTACAGGCTGCCCTATGAGCATTGGAAGGGGCCAGCCAATCACTGGAGTGGAACTGTGAATGCAGTGCTGCCATAGGTCACACCAATCATCATGGCCAATGGGAGTCTCCCAGTAATACAATGGAGGAGGAGACCCCTCTGGGTTCCATGGATAGATCAGGAGGAAAGTGAATTTATATTCAAATCTAATAGATGGAACTCGATGAATAAAGACCGATCGGGGGATGTTCCCTGGAAGCAGAAATAGCCAATCCCCGTAGAATGGAAGCCGAGCTCTTGCATGGCAGTGCAGCCAGGGGTAGGTGTCCCGGTGGTCCCACACAGCTGAATGCCACCACACTTACCTGAGAGGCAGGAAGCGGGTCTTGTAAAGCATGGCGCCGAGCGTCCACTGGACCTCCTTGTCATATACCAGCTGGGCAGTCCTGAGGTTTGGATAGTCATGTGGAAAATGAAAACCATCATGGAGAATTCTGTGCATCCAGGCCGACTTAAAGCATTGATACCTGTAAGAGAGGAATGATGGCTTCTGGAAACAAAGACAGCAGCAGCATGCAATTCTCCCCAACCGGAAAAGGGGCCCCGCCTTTCCTCCTATTCCCAATCAAGTCATAGAATCATTCCTTCCTCTCCCACCCCCATCCCAATCAAGTCAAAGAATCATTCCTTCCTCTCCCACCCCCATCCCAATCAAGTCAAAGAATCATTCCTTCCTCTCCCACCCCCATCCCAATCAAGTCAAAGAATCATTCCTTCCTCTCCCACCCCCATCCCAATCAAGTCAAAGAATCATTCCTTCCTCTCCCACCCCCATCCGACTCATGACAACTTCCTTTGGCAATGCTCAAATGTATTTGTTCCTGCCAATAAAGCATCTTTACATTTGAAGGAGACAGCGACAGACAGCAGAGTACACATCTGTAGCCCCGAGATGAAGATTTTTGGTTCAAAGACTGACCGGTGGTGTAACCATTTCAAGTGCGGACACTTCCACCCTCTCCCCCCCTTCCACCCACTTCCACCCTCCCCCCCCCCGGACACCTCCCCCCCCCCTTCCAGACCAGGCCAATTTTCAGCACTATCACACTTTGAATGACAATTACGCAGTCATGCAACACTGTATCCCGATGACATTTTTTAGCATTTTTGTTGAGAGGGACAAAACTTTATCTTGGTGGTATTTATTCACGGGGATTTTTTTTTTTTTGCTCTATGAAAAAGTCCAAACATTTTGAAAAAAAAAGTGTTTCTTATAAAATTTTGCAAATAAATAATCTTTCTTCATAAATCTTGGCCAAAATGTATTCATCTATCTTTTTAGTAAAAAAAATAAAATAAACCCAAATTAGTTCAGAACCAAAAATGATACAAGTCTGTTGTGAATGGCCCTGTACCATGTGATCTCTGTGATCATTTGATCATTCACAGATTTCACACGTAGTAAGCAATGATATCAGGAAGTGACATCTTGCTTACTACTATTCATGTGATCACCGATTGGCCAATCAGTGATCACATGATCAGGGCCTCACACAGAGGTCCTGTCCAACGATTGGTGTTCCTCCGCACACAGCGGTCACTGGATCCTAGGAAGCGTGCACAAGCAGGGAAGCTGGGAGGGTGTTTATAAACAGCGACCCGCTCCTTCAATGTTCCCGTCTGACCGTTTATACACATGGGCCGGACGGGAAGTGGCTAAGCTCCCCATGGAATTGGCTTTTACCGACAGGCTGGCCACATACACTTGGCGTTCACCTAGAACGAATGTGATCATCCCAATGACCACACGGGAAGCTCCGGGGTGAACTCACTTTAGGCGGTGCAGGTCAGCATGGGCGGAGTACAGATTGTTTTTAAAGCGCTCCGTCAACGTTGTCCACGGCATTCTACAGTAATCCTGGGAGGAGAGCAGAAGAAACACAATGAGAAGTTGGACACACGTCACAATCTGCGGATAATGTCATTTCTAAGCCCGTTACCTTGGCAGCTTTGGAGAACTTGTGACTGTCGTACATTCCCCCCATACGCAGCACGTCCTCAGTGCAGTAAAAGAACTCTGAAAACCCGTAGAACTCGCTGTTGGAGAAGTCGATCGCTGGCTGGTACACTCCATTCAGATAGGCCTGAGAATCATTTGATTTGGCCAATAGCGGTTCCATGAGCTCCCGGCAGCCATTCCAATCCCCTTTACCTAGAACATGGAAGTCCAGGCTCTGTCGCTGGAGCTGATCTTTGTGGCCAACAGGCAAACATGGGTCCAAAAATGGAGTGTTGGAGTTCATACCAGTCTGTTCTTTTGAAACCCTAAAAGAACAATGTTGCTTTGTAAGCAAAATATCTGAAGAAGCATGGTGGACACAACCAGGACATGGAAGGTTCATTCATTCACAAACATTTCTGTTATACACCAGAACAGGTCAGCACCTTCCTGAATGACAATTGGACACCACCGACTCTCATTTTGTCTCTTTTGTTAGATTTGTTCGATAGGTGCAAAAAAATCCCCCGTCTGACTTGTAACAGTGTTCCTAAGAATCTCCCAGGACAGCCTACATGAGAGACGATTGGTTCCTCCAAACACAGGAAATACAAGCAGTCACTTCCAATACCCAGAGACAAGAGGGTTGGTGGGGCAAGTTTAAGGTGGACTACTGCCAGTGAGAGGACGAAAGGAAAAAGGCCCATCCCAAATGATCGAACCAGGGAAGAGAACAAAATGGATGGAAACAAGGAATGCTGTCCTGGAATATTCCTACAAGTAAATCTAACGGAATCTCATTCATCTTCCAGGACAGGCTACATGAGAGAGGAGTATACCTCAGGGTGGGGTCACTGCCTGAAGAACGGGGATACCTTCTCCATTCTGAAGGGTTTATGACAACCACACAGCTGCTCTACAGATTAGGTGTCATGGTGTCATCCGCCCTTTCTGCTCAGGATGTCGCCAGTGATATGGCTAAGTGGGGATTTAACTCCTCTAAAGAACCCGTGTCAAACATAAGACCCACGGGCTGAATCCAATTCATGTGGCCTTTGTACCTCTCCTGCAGCTGTGGCACCCTCATCTCCACCCCCACTTTGTTTTCAGCAAAAAGGATGACAGATCTCCTCCGCCTGATCCTGTGTTTCTCTGTGCAGCCGCAGCTACGGCAGACACACAAGGGGACACACACAGGGTACAATGGCAATTAAAGGTTCCTGAAACTGATGACTGACTGGAACAGGAATTATTACCTTCCACTGGAAAAGGTTTGAATGAACTTTAACAAGGTCTCGGCCTTTACCTGGGCTTCCAGCAAGTGGGTCAGAAAAGCTTTAGCCTGAAATTTCCAGCCAGTACCCATCTCCTAATCATAACACATGGGGATAAATCTTAACCCATTGTTCAATAACTTGAGACAATCTCCCCTGACCCCCCCCCCCCCCAAAAAAAAGCATGACCCCCCCAGAAAGATCATTTACTCTTTGGGGTAAGCTGTGTAGAACAAAAGAGGAAGTCCCCTTTACACCTGTTCCTATTGAAAGTCAACTGCTTTAGCTCTTGGCATTAAGGGGCCTGTTGGGACTTTCCTTGTTTGCCAAATATTGTGAAACTACTTCTTGTCCATTTTTTTTACCCTTTTCAGCTCTGAACAGCAGACTGCTTGAAGGGGATCCCACACAGTTTGGAATTCGATCTGGCATCCTCACTCCAGGATTTGAGACCTATAGTCCTAACCTAAAGGATAAGTCCACCATGTTACACCCATGTTAAGGCTCTGAAGGAGCTCGTCTCCTAAGGTGGTAGCCCAGCAGCCAACCTAAACATAAAAGTTGTGGGCAATGTGGGAGGCCACCAAGGTAGGTGCTATGGATAAGTGCTCACATCTCAGAGTCTCTCCAAGGATGAGCTTCTGTCTATCCATCGGATCCTTTATGGATCCAGAGTCAACAAAGGAAACATCTGCGATTGTAGAAACGTGTACAGGCTGCACCGAGTTACAGGACACTTAGAGAATTTCTCTTCCTCCTTCTTGGAAAAAGGGAATCATCTCTTTCAGGTTGTGAGGTTGAAAATCTTGACTCCATTTATTTAGAAACAGGTCCTTTAGCCTAGATTCACATTGAATTGCACTGGAATCACACTGCATTCTTCTGAAAATCACATGGGGTTCTGTGCAGCGAGTTGAGCCCATTCATTTTGGATGACTCAAGTCACACCGCCTAAAGAAGGTGCAACCAGCACACTGGAACCCATTTGGATTTGCTTCTGGAAAATGTGCAGTTTTTGTGACCTTCTTTTGGGTTATAAACTAACATGTCTATACTTACCTGCTCTGTGCAATGGAATTGGAAAGAGAGGCCTCCTTTCCTCGGGTCTCCCATTGGTGCTCCTGGCTCCTTCTCTGTCCAGTGCCCCCCCACAGAAAGCCTCTTCCGATGGGGGCACTTGTGTGTGCTCATTCTCGGCCCTGCCCCCGCTGCCTCGTCACTGGCTGTGACTGACAGTGCTGGGAGCTCCTGGTGCCCTGTGAAAGTGACAGTTGGTGGCAGCGGTGGGATCTGCTTAGTACATTAGTGGTTTATTCATGTAACCCGTGTACTGAAGGTTGGAAGCTCGGTAGAAGTGGCTGACCTACAGAAGCTCACTCAGTGCATCATTTTTGTTTTGTAGAAGACATACTTGGCTATTTGCTCCTCCCCTTCTTTTTCTATCTTTTATTTGGGCAAAAACATGAAGATGGTAACACAGGAAGATAAAGTAATCCGCTGGTACCGGAGACAATCGGATGAGGCCATGATTGACCTCTGTCATCTAAAGGACATCAATACAGTTGGCCAGACGAGGTCCCAGCTCCTAGGTGCTCTGATAGAGATGGAGTTAGAACGGCGCACCATGTTGGTGGAACACTGCAACTGTGCCACTCCAGATGACTGCGTGAATCGGTGTGACTCTGTACTCAAACCCTCTCGGAACAAGAAATCAGCACTCACAGAGAACCTTGATCTGGGAACAAACCTACAGCTTTTGGGAGATGATAACCTCGAGGTGCAGTTTCACCTCATTTCCAGGTTACTACAAATTGAGAGAAAGCACCAACAGTGGATGGAGCACACTGAGAGGAGGCACAAAGCCGAGAGGGTCCAAATCCAGCAGGGGAATGCATTGTTACCTCCATCTGCATCAAGAACTACAAGGGCCAGACCTACGTTTGTGGAGACCTGGAAGGGTGTTACCTGTAACCAAGTGGACATTACGCACGGCCCAAACCTGAGGATATCTAGCCCACCAGCAAGTGTGGAAAATGTACCCCCTACTGTGTTTCTTGTTGGAGAGAATGGAGGAGGCCGAGCGGATAACCGGCCACCATTTACTACAAGTAACGGCGTTACAGTTGGACTCCAAGGTACGGGATCAGAGAATGTCCTAGCTCTTACAGAATTGAGGAGCTGTGAGGATGGGGTCCCAGTGGAAGCCATGGCTGGCACAGGGGTTGGAGGAGCCATCCCTGCTGTGCCTATGGCTTGTGTTTCTTTGAGCCAGGAGTCTGGAAGTCAAGTGGAAGTGGGCAGAACAGATCCCACTAATGAAGGAAGCCATATGGATAGCCTGCAGCCAGTTACCACAGGTAACAATGTTTCAGCTGGACTCCGAGATAAGGGACCCGAGGATGTCCTAGCCCTTCCCGGATGGAGGAGTCGTGAGGAGGTGGTCCCAAAGAAATCCACAGTTATCATAGGGGTTGGAGGAGTCACCCCTCTACTACAGCTTGTGTTGCTTTGCCCCAAGGACCCAGAAGCAGTGAGAGAAGTGGGCGGAGCAGATACCACTAACCTATCGGGTACTGACCTGGGGCGGTTGGTAACCCAGAACAAGTCAAAGTCAACACCCCTGAAGTCTACATTTCCACCTGAGGCCTCGGATTCACGTAATGTACTGTTGAGTGACTCAATGCACACTGGGAATTCTGGGGAGGGTCAGGGGGTGAAGGACTGTGTACCAGGGCCTGGCTCTAGTGGATGTCTGGAGTCAAGGCCTGGAGAAAAGTTTAAAGTCAAAGAGGACTCTGAACTGATGTGTTATGTGATGCCAAATGTAATAACATGTGCAAGGAAGACCTTCCCTCTGCTGCAGTGGTGACTCGGGGTGCCCCCCAGGTGGCCCCAGACCAGTCATTGCCCACTGCTACAGAGGAACTGTCTGTGAAAGGGCCCAATCTAGCTGGGTTGGACCCTTGTGAACCTGGCCCAGAGGGCCTAAGGTCTCCTCAGACTGTTGTCCACCTGGCACCTGTGGGAGAAAGCTCTAGGTCCCCTGCTGCTGTGAAAATTGATGGCAGCCCAGAGGATCTCAGGGGTCTGGCTGAAGGAACGCCAGCGGCAGGAGAGGATCACAGGATGATGGGGGAACACTGACCCCCTCTAAATCTGCTTTCTCAGAGGCTGTATCTGACAACACTGTTTTCTCGCAGGCTGATAGGTTGGATGTCAGCCCGGAGGAAGTCAGTGGTTGTGCTGACCGGTCTCTGACTAAAGCAGAAAGAGCAGAAGTGTGGGAGACAGGTCAGAGGGTGAAGGTTCTGGTATCCAAGCCATGGAACCAGGTCCAGATCACCCAGGAACGACCTTATGCCAGGCTCAAGCATCTGGGCATTGCAGCCAATGGCGAACCACCAGATGACCCTGGCCAGTGCCTAGAAATGATGACAGCACACGACAGGTTTACCTGTACCCGTCCAGTAGTTAGTCAGTGGCAGGGGAATCCGCTGGCCAGTTGTGATCCAAACCCTTTAGGATCATTCCGAGAACTGTACAGGAGCCCTCTCATATCTGCAAGGGGACAAGCTGAAATGTCAGCGGTGTCAAGCTTTAGTTGGGAGAACCCCCCCCCAACCTAGGGAACCTTCTTGGCAGATGCGTTAGCTGACCCGTTTAGGCTCAGCTATGCGTCGTCTGGAAGAGGGGAGATGGGACATACATGTACAGCTTTGAGTAGATAAGATGTGACCTGTAGAAAATATGACAATGTAGATTTAGCATTCCATGTTCTAATAATATAAGATGTGTTCAGAATTAAGGCAGAGGCAGATGGTCACCCATCAGCATCTGAAAAGAGACAGAGCTTCCTCAGGCTGGAAGTGACACCTGGGTGCCAATAAGATTTGGCACCTTCTGGGAAACCTGGAAGGAAATGGCTGGAGACAGGTTGGCTTCATGACACAGCGGGAGACCAGAGTTTTGAAGTATATCAGGAAATCAAAGGAATATGTTTCATCTCTCATCAAAGCTAAAATATTAGTTGCAGAGATGAAAATACTTCCTTCTGATTGGGCACTCTGTAGGCTACATTCTGCATGTAAAAATCGTATTTGTGGCCTATGTAGAATGGCAGAAAAATGCAGGAAATGGTTATGTGGCGCCAGATTGCGACAGCTGAACAGTGATTGGTACTGTCGCGATTGGACTGATGCGCTGGTGTCGGAAATTCAATCCCTGACTTGGTGATTCAAACCGTGCCTGGTCCAATCGACTTTGGGCATTTCAGGACCCAGAAAATCCTGTGGGCAGGTACAGGAACACCCCCCCAGAGTCAATTGGCCAAGGACTCATGTCCAGCCCACGTCCATATTCCCATAAATTGAGGACCCCGCGGTATGGACATTGTGATTCGTATGGAGCCCGTCCTATTGACTGATGGATTGCGGACTCTCTCTGACTTGCTCCAGTCGCAGGATAGATCTCGGCAAAAGTTTTATTTCTGTGTTTTATCCCCTCTTATTTTATAGTCAATTGTGTGTCTTCTTGTATTTGTTGTATTTTCTGTATCTTTTATACTTTGTACATATTTTATGCTCCGCCCACTTTGGGATATTAAATCATAAGATTAATAAGTGACTTCTGGGTACATAAGCTCGGGCTCAGATCTCCGGAGAGATTGTATTGTATTTTAGTGTCTTTAAAACGCTCGGTCATGTTCATTGCCAATCTGTATGCAATAGCACTGTTTGTTGGCAGATTGTGTGCAGATTGTAAAAGGTAGCAGATCTGCCAGACGGAGATCTGTGTGTGGGGTGTCTCAGCAGACCGTTATGCGGATAAACTGTTGGGTGGTGGCAGGCTACAGTTTGTGGTGTGTCTGGTGTGGGGGGGGGGGGGGGTGTGTGGACAGTGGAAGGGTGATTAACACCGGGGTTCTGGCTTGGAGGATAGCTGGAGGGATCCTAGAAGGGTGTGATTGCTAGGCTGCTCCTCAACCCTAATTAGTGCACCAGATTGTATGTACGATTTGTGTCTGCCCGTGTGTGGTCAACCAGCTGGATTGGAGTTTCCCTCCAGTGGTGGCCAAGAGGTAGTGGGGGCTGTGAAAGTAGATCACGGCCAGGCTTATATACTTTTATATATTCAGATTAAGTCCCCTTTATTCCCTCTTTACCCCCAAGTCACGGCCGCACGTGCGCGCCTCGGTTAGCTAGTCGCTGTGGGCGTGGTGTGCGGGTGAACTGTGACATGCCCCAACAAAGCCAGAAAGACATGGAAGTGAAGGGAGAGAAGAGTTGCAGATGTGCACAGCGCTGGATCGAATGAGGGCTCAGGTAAGTAAAGGGGGGGGATGGAGGGGAGGGGGGAGATGCTGATCCCTAAATGTTTAGACTTTAGAACTGCTTCCATCGTGCCCATTGACATAAAACAAAGATTTTCGGAGCTGAAACTGGTAGCAATCTGCAACAATCTGCATGGGCCACCCTGAGGGGAGGATTCTTTCCCCAACGTAAGTGGAGTTACTCTTTAATCACATGAGAAAAAGTGATCAGGCAGCTTTATAAACACTCAGATCCCTTCCACTCCCAGCCAGCAGCCTACAGAAGAGGCAATTTACACAACTCCTGGTGGGGCTTCTCTTCTCCAGGCCAGATGGGGGGGAATCCCTCATTACCCTGCCAACTCATTTGTCAGTACAAGCATTCAAGCACAGGAAGGGAATACACGCTCCATGCAGACAAACCCCCTCCCCCAGTCACCGCATACCTCTCACCTGTTTTTTGCCATAGTATCATTGAACACCAGGTCTTCATAGCGCTGCCGAGCAAAGTTCCCTCCGAAGCCCATGAAGGTGGTGACGAAGACACGGTAGACATGTTCCGTATGCTGCAGATCACAACCCAAGTTGAACTCAGCCAACATCTGTTTGGCCGCCTCCTCCTGGAAGACAAGAGATCACATCTGGAGGTCAGAAACCCGTGTGTCTGTTCTGATCCAAACAAGTTCTTTCCTCCAGTTTCCTCTGAGGTGATAGATACGTACGTGCTCTGCAGACGGGAAGGTCATGCTTTTTGGAACCTCATAGGCAATCTGGAGTGAGCCGCCACCCATGTCTATAATGCCGACCGTTCTCTTACGGATGATGGCTTCCTCCTGGGTACTTATCGTCACGGCAACCACAGCGTCTTCATCTATAGAACCACAACAGCCAGGTTATGGGATGTACAGAGGAAGGCCAGAGAGATCGCGGTGATCAGGCATTACTATGCTTGGGGCGTTCTTCTACAGCAACTTACAGGTCAAAGTCACACGAAATTAGGTCTTCATTCTCCCAGAATCCTCAATAAAATAGAGAAATTCCACACCACTACCATGCCTACGTGTATGCTCCGCCCACCCCGCCAAGCCTACGTGTATGCTCCGCCCACCCCGCCAAGCCTACGTGTATGCTCCGCCCACCCCGCCAAGCCTACGTGTATGCTCTACCCACCCCCGCCAAGCCCTACCATGCCTGTGCTCTGCCCACCCCGCCAACCCCTACGCTCCGCCCACCCCTACCATGCCTTCGCTCCGCCCACCCTGCCAAACCCTACTCATACACCCCGCCCACCCCCCCCGCCAAGCCTACGTGTATGCTCCGCCCACCCCGCCAAGCCTACGTGTATGCTCTACCCACCCCCGCCAAGCCCTACCATGCCTGTGCTCTGCCCACCCCGCCAACCCCTACGCTCCGCCCACCCCCCTACCATGCCTTCGCTCCGCCCACCCTGCCAAACCCTACTCATACACCCCGCCCACCCACGCCAAGCCTACGTATATGCTCCGCCCACCCCGCCAAGCCTACGTGTATGCTCTACCCACCCCAGCCAAGCCCTTACCATGCCTGCGCTCCGCCCACCCCGCCAACCCCTACTCATACACCCCGCCAAACCCTACTCATACACCCCGCCCACCCCCGCCAAGCCTACGTGTATGCTCCGCCCACCCCCGCCAAGCCCTACCATGCTTACGCTCCACCCACCCCTGCCAAGCCCTACCATGCCTACGCTCCGCCCCACTCCCGCCAACCCTTACCATGCCTACGCTCCGCCCACCCCGCCAACCCCTACCATGCCTACGCTCCGCCCACCCCGCCAACCCCTACCATGCCTACGCTCCGCCCACCCTGCCAACCCCTACTCGTACACCCCGCCAAACCCTACTCGTACACTCCGCCAAAGCCTACTCGTACACCCCCAAAGCCAAAGCCAAACCCTACTCGTACACCCCGCCAAACCCTACTCGTACACCCCGCCAAACCCTACTCGTACACCCCGCCAAACCCTACTCGTACACCCCGCCAAACCCTACTCGTACACCCCGCCAAACCCTACTCGTACACCCCGCCCAATCCGGCAAGCCTACGTGTACGTTCCGCCCACCCCCCGCCAAGCCCTACCATGCCTACGCTCCGCCCACCCCCGCCAACCTCTACCATGCCTATCCTCCGCCCACCCGCCAACCCCTACCATGCCTATGCTCCGCCCATACCAACCCCTACCATGTCTATGCTCCGCCCACGCCAACCCCTACCATGCCTATGCTCCGCCCACGCCAACCCCTACTCTTACACCCCGCCAAATCCTACTCGTACACTCCGCCAAGCCTACGTGTATGCTCCGCACACCTCCGCCAAGCCCTACCATGCCTACGCTCCGCCCACCCCCACCAACCCCTACCATGCCTATGCTCCGCCCACCCCGCCAAACCCTACTCGTACACTCCGCCCACCCCTACCAAGCCCACTTGTGTACTCCACCCGCCCCTATACTGTGCCCGCTCAGGCCAAACCCCGCAAGGTACTCAGGAGAAGTGTAATGCGCAATTATTGAATTAGTATGAAGACACTCACCATCTATGACGTGATCAAACCGTCCGAGAACAGAATTTATACTGATCCACGCATAAACTCCTAAAATCAAACAGAACAGCTTACATTTTGTATAGAATTGTAACAGTAATCAGACAAAAGCTGACCATGGTTAGGACCTTTATAAATCAGGTCTTGTTCAGGTCAGCAGCCACGGGTCACATGACCACAATGCGTGGTAAGGAATGTTAAAACGCATCTGATGTGATGCCTCCAACACACTGCATTTCCAACATATGGTACAACGTGGCTCATCACCTGAAAACCAGCCATCCATCCATGTCTCCATCCACCCACCCCTGGATGGAGACATGGACCCAGACCTGACCCTTCACCCTCTGCTAGAAGTCCATGAGCTGAGATCTGCCAATTACTGAGTTCTAGGAGGAGCACACTTCACAATCTGGGGCCCCACTGCTGCCATTCACATGGTGCACAACCCTCGGGGCCCGACGTCTGAGAGGTGAAGCAGAACTCTGACCATGTTCTAGTCTTTGGATTGATGGGAAAGTGGCCTGCCACAAACACTCACCCACAATATCATGATGATCTACCAATGGACTGGGATCCTTTCCTGCTAGATGATCACAAATGAAGGTGCAAACCAAAGCCACAAGATCCCTCACAGTGCTGCAAACCCCCCATCCCCCACAATGTTACAAGACCCCATCCCCCACAATGCTACAAGATACACCCTTTACCACCTCCCTGTCCAGTTCACTGGCTCTTCCTAACCACACCTGAGTGTCTGCACAATGGACCATCAGTGATGCAGAGCTCCTGGACCATCCACATGTCCCCTTGGTTGGGGAGTTGAGGGGTCTGCGAAGGTTGTGAGGGGTCTGCGAAGGTTGTGAGGGGACAGGAGGACGACGGATTGGCAAACACTTCTATCAGTAGAGATTTCCTATTCCTTTATTACTCTACCTTCTTGTTTTCCAGAGATGACCTCAGCATGGGCCTCCGAGAACAGAAAACCAAAGTCCTGAGAAATGTCCTTCACCAGATCCTGGAGGATGGCTGCCTGCTGACTGAGGGGTGCACAGCATTAATGTGGGTTCTGCAATCCATCTACACCCCAACATCATACAACAAAATATCACACAATGGCCAATAACGCCCCCCCCCCCCCCCCCAAGGTCTCACCTCTCTGGCAGGACTCTCATGCCGGCTGTACAAAGAACGTATAGGGGGGTCTCCTTATGCTTGGTCTTTGGGATGTAGGATGCGGCATAACTCAGAAGAGGGTGGATGTAATCGCTGGCCTTCTCCGGGGTCTGTGAGATGCTAGAGATCCCTGCAAGTCACAGCTTTCTATTAGTATTAGGAGAACGTTTACCCAGCATCAGCTTCAGACCCGTGTGCTCAGCAAGAGCCGCAAATTGTACACGGTACAACGCGGACAACTAGAGATGAATGCGGACAAACTGCGGAGAGTAGGTGACCTCAGAAATGCAGAGATTATTATACAGTATTTATAAAGCGCCAATAGTTGGCTCAGCGCTGTACATTACAATGGGAGACAGAACATGAGACAGTACAATGACAATACAATGTGATACACGAGGGGTTCGAGGGTCCTGCTCCTTGGAGCTTACAATCTAGGAGGGAGGGGATGGTGGCACAGGAGGAAAAGCTGTGGGGGATGGAGTGGTGGGAAGAGAGGAGGAGGTCAGCAATTAGCAGGGGGCGGGGTAGGCTTCCCTGAAGAGATGGGTTTTCAGGGTGCGCCTAAAGAAGAGGAGAGTAGGTGATAGTCTGATGGATTGGGGTAGGGAGTTCCAGAGGATGGGTGATGCCCTGGAGAAGTCCTGGAGGCGGGCATGGGAGGAGGAGACCAGGGAGCAAGAGAGAAGGAGGTCTTGTGAGGAGCGGAGAGAGCATATTGGGTGGTATTTGGATATCAGGTCGGAGATGTAGTTCGGGGCTATATTATGGACGGCTTTGTATGTCAGTGTTAGCATTTTGAATTTAATCCATTGGGCTATCGGGAGCCAGTGGAGGGATTGGCAGAGGGGGGTGGAGGACACTGAGTGGAGGCCAGTGGAGGGATTGGCAGAGGGGCGTGGCGTAAACGGAGTGGTTGGTTGGTGAGGTGGATGAGTCTGGCTGCCGTATTCAGGATAGACTGAAGCGGGGATAGCCTGTGGAGAGGCAGGCCAGTGAGGAGGGAGTTGCAGTAGTCCAGTCGTGATATGATGAGGGAGTGGATGAGCTGCTTAGTGGTTTCTGGGGTTAGGAATGAGCGTATTTTGGCGATGTTGCGGAGGTGGAGTCTGCATGTTGCGGCCATGTTGCGGAGGTGGAGTCTGCATGTTGCGTTGCGGAGGTGGAGTCTGCATGTTGCGGAGGTCGGCATGAATTCGTTAGCGATTGGACTTGGGGTGGAAGGATAAATTGGAGTCAAGAATGACACCAAGTACTCTGGCCTGCGGGGGTGGGCTTAATGGTGGCATTGTTGGATGTGATGGAGAAGTCGGGGGGGGGGGGGGGGGGGGGGGGGAGGGGGCGCGGGCTGGGTTGAAGACAAGGAGCTCGGTTTTGGAGAGGTTCAGTTTAAGGAAGTGGAGCGACATCCAGTCTGATATGTTGTTCAGTAGGCTGGTGATTTGGGCGGAGACTGAAGGGGTGAGGTGGGGGGTCGAGAGATAGATTTGCGTGTTGACGGCATAGAGGCGATAGTTGAAACCGTGGGAGTGTATCAGTTGGCCAAGGGAGGAGGTGTAGATGGAGAAGAGAAGGGGCCCGAGGACAGAGCCTTGAGGGACCCCGACAGAGAGGGGGAGGTGGTAGTGTTGTAGGTAACGCTGAAGGAGCGTTGTGACAGGTAGGAGGAGAGCCAGGAGAGAGCGGAGTGTTTGAGGCCAAGAGAGTGTAGTAGTTATATTGAGGAGGAGGGGGTGGGTCGACTGTGTCGAAGGCCGCGGAGAGGTTGAGGAGCAGGAGGACTGAATAGTGGCCATTAGCTTTGGCAGTAAGTAGGTCGTTGGTGAGTTTGAGGAGGGCGGTTTCGGTGGAGTGTAGGGGACGGAAGCTGGACTGTAGGGGATCGAGGAGGTTGTTGTTGAGGTGGGAGTTTAGGCGATTATAGAGTAAGCGCTCGAGGAGTTTGGATGTAAATGGCAGCAGGGAGATGGGTCTAAGGTTGTTCGAGTCAGTGGGGTCCAGGGAGGGCTTTTTGAGTATGGGGGGTGATGTGTGCATGCTTCAGAGGGGAGGGGAAAGTGCCGTAAGAGAGGGAAAGATTAAAGATGTGGGTGAGGGAGTGTAAGCTGAGAGAGGACAGGGTCGTGGGGGCAGGTGGTGAGGCGGGCTTCGGAGAAGACCTTGGTGATCTCCTCGGTGGTAGTAAGGTCAAAGGAGTGGAGATACGGACAACCCCACGTCCAGCCCTGCCGCACCGTCAGCCCTGCCGCGCAGCCAACCCACTGGGCCGGCCCTGCCGCACGTGAACATCACTTAAGTCCACAGCATAATCCAGGGTCTTCAAACTGTGGCAAAGGGCCAAAAGTGGCCCTATGCTTGCCTTTATCTGGCCCTTGGGGGACAATTCCTCCCACCGACGCCAACGATGGGGCACTATTCCTCCCACCGACGCCAACGATGGGGCACTATTCCTTCCACCGACACCAATGATGGGGCACTATTCCTCCCACTGACACCAATGATGGGGCACTATTCCTTCCACCGACACCAATGATGGGGCACTATTCCTCCCACTGACACCAATGATGGGGCACTATTCCTCCCACTGACACCAATGATGGAGCACTATTCCTCCCACTGACACCAATGATGGGGCACTATTCCTCCCACTGACACCAATGATGGGGCACTATTCCTCCCACTGACACCAATGATGGGGCACTATTCCTCCCACTGATACCAATGATGGGGCACTATTCCTCCCACTGACACAATGATGGGCACTATTCCTCCCACTGACACCAATGATGGGGCACTATTCCTCCCACTGACACCAATGATGGGGCACTATTCCTCACACCAACGATGGGGCACTAATCTTCTCAATGAAAGCAATGATGTCTTTTTTCTTCTACTCCCATGGCGACAGTCCGGCCCCCCTAAAGTTTAAAGGGCAGTAAACCGGCCCTTCGTTTTTAAAGTTTGGACCCCTAACATAATCCATGCCATTCTTCTCATCTGTTCGCAGAATAATCACTAGGTGGCAGCACATACCCATCAATGATGGTCCTATATAATCGGTAATGAGGGGATTCTCCTTCCATAAGAAGTAATCTTCAGCTGATGTTTGGGTTTTAGGAACATTTTAGGTGATAAAAGACATAAAAACGCAGAAAGACTTCACAGCTGTCACTATGAACCAGAAGATTAAATAGCAGCTTCATCTCATCGCCTTCAACTCGGAAAAGATGCTTCATCTCCCAGACAATGGTCCATCTCTCGGCACCAACCCCGCAGAGGACATGTGTGCTCCCCATCAGGGCCCCATGACACCTCCAACGAAGGTACCTACCTGGTTTAATCTTCTTCACCACAGGATTGCTGCCGCGATCCCTCATCTGTTTGATGTCCAACAGGTCGTGTGGATTCCCATTGTGTGGCGGCCAAAAGTAGACAAAGACGCGGGAGCCGCTGCTGCCACAGTCCACCACAATGCCATAGTTCAGCTTGGTGTCTTCCGTGTCTGTGGCTTCCAAATCCTCGATCTGATCCAGGTACCTGAGAAGGGATACGGACACGCCCTTTAATATAAACTACCCCCACTGACAGCTATTCATATTGGCCACCCCCGCCGGCCGCTACACGCGCTGGCCGGCCGCTACACGCCCGGCCACCCCCGCCGGCCTCCGCGCCGACCCCCGCGCCACCTACCGCTATACGTACCGGCCAGCCGAAGAGGAGTGACACCCCGCTGAGGGATTCCGGCACGGGGCCGCCAACCGGTTGCCACGCGCCCCCTGGCGAGTCAGATTTTCCTGTGCTCTGCGCCTGCCAGGAGACAAGGGCCACGCTTACGAGTGCGCAGCCCGAGTCAAGGGGCTGTGCCTCTTTGCCTCGGCAACGCGGCGCTGGGCTGGACGGGAAGGACGGGAAGCGTCCTGGCTGGCCTTAAAAAGGGGACCCGGTCTTTGTCTTCCGTTTCCGCTGCAGCTGTTCCGTTGGGGGTCTGGGTGGGGACCGGACCTCCGCAGCCATACCCGCTGGGCACTCTGCAAGAGACCCCCCCCCCCAAAAGGTCAGAACCATTACCTGCTGCCACTCTGCTAATACTCCAGGGCTGGGAGTGTCCCTGGTAGCTGTCCATGGCTGCCTGTGTGCTCGATCCCCGCTCGGGACAGGGTGCTGTGTGGGGTCTGCGCTGAGGCCAGACCCCACAGCGAAGACCCTGAAGCCTGCTGTGTCCCTACCTGCAAGCCTGCTGTGTTGATCTGCGCTCGGGAGAAGCGCTGTGTGGGGTCTGAGCTGAGGCCAGACCACACAGCCAGGACTCCCGCTGCTGTCTATGGAAAGCTGACTGCTGTGAGGGCCCCTGCCTTCTGACCGCTGTTGTCCATGGAAAGCTGACCGCTGTGAGGGCCCCTGTCTCAAGCTGACTGCTGTGAGGGCTGCTGACCGCTGTTGTCCCTGAAAAGCTGACCGCTGTGAGGGCCCTGTCTCAAGCTGACTGCTGTGAGAGCCGCTGACCACTGTTGTCCCTGGAAAGCTGACTGTTGTGAGGGTCCCTGTCCGCTGACCGCTGTGAGTGTACTTACAAGCCGCCTGCTGCTGAGTGTCCTTGGAAGCCATGAACTGCCCTATTGTGTGCTCGGATTACCCTTACCTGGACTGCCCCGTGTGCTTGAGACATCGCTACCCAAATCAGACCCCACAGCCAAAGTCCCGCTGAGTCGCCGTGAGCCTGATGTTGTCCCTAGAGAGCTGTGGTGAGGTTAGATACCACAGCCAAGGTCCCGCTGAGTCCCCGTGAGCCCACTTACCGTGAGTGTCCCTACAAGCCGCCTGTTGCGGAGTGCCATGAACTGCCCCGATTGAGTGCCTGCCACAGTTCAATAAAGCTTTGTGCGTTTACCTTCTTCTTTGTGTGTTCTATCCTGCCTACGCTTCCGTCACAGCAACAAAGCTAATATGGGGACTGGAGGACCTCAGTTATGAGGAACGGCTACAAACACAAAATGTTTTTCTCCCTGGAGAAGAGAAGCGGGAGAGGAGGGATGATGGAGACATACAAATCCCTCCATGGTGATCCCAGCATAGGGAGGGAACTATTCATTCTCCGGAAGTGTGAGAAGACACGGGGCCACTTCAGGACACTGGAGGAGAAGCGGTTCAACCTTAAACTGTGTAGGGGTTTTTTACTGTCAGAGCATAAATTGGTGGTGTCAGCGGGAAGTATTGTTAAAAAAAACAAAAACAAAAAAACCCAAAAAACTCTTGGTTGGGTATCTTAAACAGTATACAGGGATACGGGAAATTATTTTTGACATGAACACACACGCGTACACACATTAGGAGTCGGAACTTCAATGCCTCTCATGTTTTCGGGTTATTGATGAAAATACTGAAGCCTGTGGATTAGAATGACAGCCAGGCAGCTAGCATTTCTGGAAGGAGGTCAGCATCGGCAGGCTTCTATATCTCCATTCACATTGCTCTGTTGGCGCTCCGACACGCAGTACTTGGAGGATGGAGAATTCCGGAGAGATCATTCCGGACAGAAGGCGTGTTGTGTTCAATGACTGGTAATGGGTCTAATGCACCTCATACGATCCATACCGCTGAGAGTCAAACACTCCGCGGGGGATTATATTCTGCTTACATCCACAGCATGTCTGTCTGCTCATCACAACTCATCTATCAGATGGAATCATCCCACCAGAAAGGGCCGCAGCAGCCGCTGGGTTTGCTTAGTGTGCAGAAATGAAAAAGGAGGAAGCGGAGAGCGCTGACTGACTGCGGCACCGAGAGAGATAACTAACATCATTAGGACTCCTTAGAGGGATGAAATTATCCCAAACTGAGCCCCATTCTCCTTCCAATAACGGATAACAGGCCCTGGAGGCACGCTTCTAACAGCTGGAACCACCATTACGCCAAGCCTACGGCATTCTCCAGTGGCCAAACTGATATCGATGGAGATGATGTGGAACCAGCAAGTGAGGCCGCAATCAGGTTACTAGAAAGGAAGGTGTTGCTGCAAGCAGAATGCAGACCACAGAGCTGGGGAGCGATGAGACCCTCATACATAAAACAGTCCTGTAATCTCATTACACCGGAACACAAATGGTGTCAGTGACAGTTCTCAGCCCGACGTTACTACATTTGTGGCTTCACCGTTACATCATGTCTGAGCTTCCTCCCAGGACAGTCTATACAGACATGCTAGAATTATACCCAGCATTTCCAATGATTAGGAGATACCCATCACCCCATAACAGAAACAGTCATGGCAGGACCACCAAGAGACATCCATCGCCCCATAACAGGAACCTCCACAGCAGGACCACCAAGAGACAGCCATCGCCCCATAACAGGAACCTCCACAACACGACCACCAGGAGACACCTATCACAAGAACCTCCACAGCAGGACCACCAAGAGACACCCATCGCCCCATAACAAGAACCTCCACAACACGACCACCAGGAGACACCCATCACAAGAACCTCCACTACAGGACCACCAAGAGATACCCATCGCCCTATACCAGGAACCTCCACAACATAACCACCAGGAGGCACCCATCACCCCATACCAGGAACCTCCACAACACGACCGCCAGGAGGTACCCATCACCCCATAACAAGAACCTCCACGGCAGGACCACCAAGAGACACCCATCACCCCATACCAGGAAACTCCACGGCAGGACCACCAGGAGACAGCCATCACCCCATATCAGGAACCTCCACGGCAGAACCAACAAGAGACAGCCATCACCCCATACCAGGAACCTCCCCAGCAAGACCACCAGAATACACCCATCACCCCATACCAGGAACCTCCACAGCAGGACCACCAGGTATTTTATAGAAAGTACAGATTTCAGACCATTGAAAAGGACTTTTGAAATGACATGGACATGTTAGGAACTTCTATGAGAGTTTAGTTCGCGGCTGCACATCTACTTAGGGCTGTTAGAAAGCAGCAGCTGGTGTGCCATGGTGTCGGCAGCAGTGCCAAAGCCATCCACTGAAAAGAGTTCCCTGCAATATCACAAAGTGATCTTATATTGGGTTCTATTCTGCATCCCAAAACATTGTGGTGAGAAAATGACAGCATGTATTACATTCCTCAGTGCACAGCACTGGTCTGGTGCCACCAACGGACCCAACTGTAAACCAGGAATTTGCCTAGTCTATGCACCAGAAATAAACTGGCCCTATACTGGGAATACAGGCCTCCAAATAATGACACATCCAGTATATGACCTGTGCGTGATTCCAGTGACCTGCCGAGTCACATGTGCACATCTGTGGCATCAAACTGGTCAAAAGGTGGAGAAACCTGACAGGAGACAGTGAAATCTTCCTACAAGTCCACCCCCCCCCCCCCCACACACACTCTATAGTGCGGTCATTGTGACATGGAGGATGTGGTCTAGCAGGAAGGCGAATGTGTTACACTAGAGGAGCAGAACTTGTACCAACCAGGAATGTAAATGGTGGAGAGGAGAGTGGGACCTTGTACATAGACCATACAGAGAGGTCCTCGGGATCTGCACCAGATGTGTCCGTATTCCTCGTATCCTTCACTAGACATAATTAGAAGAACATTTCTGCAGTCAATCTGCGGTTAGGTGTCCGGTGGTGTAAAGTCTTTTTGCCAACAGGTAGGCTAATTGGGAGATTTGGTTTGAAATACCTCCATTGCTCTTCATAGGACGAGGTTCAGATGTTGCTCCTTCAAGGCATTAGCTGGTAATCCACTTTCTGTAGTCCCAGGCCAGCGTTTGCTTCCATTCTCTTGGCACAACATACTTATTCTGGAAATCACTCTTTCAGGAACAAACATGAGCGACCTAAAAGTTCTCAAAAGAAAAAAAAAAACAAACAAGAACTCCACCAACAATCATTTCAGCAGGAGAGTGGTTACATATGCCGCCTCAGGTGTTAAAGGGGATGTCCCCCGCTTGGATGACTGCAAGCTGGCTCATTCACCACCATTTTATGTTCCGTCTCTCCAAAGGAATGTAGAGAAGAGATCTCCGCATTGAGATACCAACACAGTGGCTAAATGGTTAGAAGCAGCACTGGGGTCATTGGTTCGAATCCCAACCACGGCACCACCTGCCTGGAGTTTGAATGTTCTCTCACCTGCGTGGGTTTCCTCCGGGTACTCTGGTCTCCTCCCACACTCCAAAGATATGCTGGGAGGTGAATTGGCTCGGTCTAAATTGTCCCTAGTATGTGTATGTATGACCAGGGACCTTAGATCGTACGCTCGAGGCCAGGGACTGATGTGAACATACAATATATATGTAAAGCATCACGTAAACTGACATCAATATACAAGTACCTGTAATAAATTCCCCCAACCTGCATCGGGCATTACAAGGGGGTCTCATGTGCCTCACTTCTTAATTTTTCCACCATGTAAAATGTATCATGAAAAGCAAGACTCCTGTAGCCAGAGGATGGATCCTTCATTGTGGGTGGATCAGGGAAGGAAACTGCTGAGGAGTTCTTCTGGATCGTGTAAAGAACTACATTGATCATTTT